AATTTGGACATTTTCACTTTGGGGTGTACTCACTTTTGTGGCCAGTGGTTTAGACATTAATGGCTGTGTGTTGAGTTATTTTGAGGGGACAGCAAATTTACATTGTTATACAAGCTGTACACTCACTACTTTACATTGTAGCAAAGTGTCATTTCTTCAGTGTTGTCACATGAAAAGATATAATAAAATATTTACAAAAATGTGAGGGGTGTACTCACTTCTGTGAGATACTGTATATATTCTGTATAAATTATCTATATTTTAGTATGTATAGATATGAAAACAGCTAACAATTTTTTGTTCCCTTGAATATTCCCAGAACGTTATTTTGTTAAGGTTTGTTTTTGACTAGCCAGGAAAGTTTTAACAATAGAATGTTAATTATTGGTGTGTAGAATGTTATTCTAACCGGATTCGTACAGATGCTGCAAAATGAAATTCCAGGATTTTTCAAGCACTACTTTTTTTGTTTTCAAGGATTAAAACCAGAGATCTTGCTTATCAAACAATCCACCGGTTTCACAGACAAGGCTTAAGCCTAGTCCCAGACTAAAATGTAAGTCTGAGCTGTTTCAACTGAAAGAAACTTCCACCGATTGATCTTAAAATATTTCAGTGCATTTGTTTTGTCTCAAGCTGCACACCAGTATGTTTTTATTTTTTATTTTTTTATTTTTCCTAAGGCACATCTATAAAAATTACTTAAATGTCCTAATTGAACTATGGCCTAATCCTGGCTTTGTCTAAGCTCTGTCTGTGAAACCAGGCCAATATCGTTATTATCTTTCAAATTCTAATAAATAAACTAATTAAACAAAATGGTACAAATAAAGTGCAGCACATGCGAAGCATGCAATGACTGTGGCAACTTCACCATTTGAAAGGATACTATGGCAAAGTTACCACTTTCCTTATTCAAACTGATTTTTTTATTTAATTTTATTTTATGCTTTCATGAATATTTGATTGACCTGAAGAATGAAAGCTATATCATACACTTGGCAATTTTGAGCTATATCATGCTTGTAGACAGGGGAGTGACAATACACTTAGCACACGAGATGAGACTAAATACAGAAACTTGGTTCACTAGAACAACAAAATAATTTAATTATTTTTGTAAGAAATGTTCAATGACGAAATATTTCTCTTTTAATCACAAAAGGCAAAACAATGCAGTCGTATTTTGAAATGTTTTAACTAATCTAGAACAATTGTTTTGGTAATTAAGTAATCTACTGATTATTTTGACAATTGAGTAATCTGATGTTTTGTTTTTTTTTGGTAATAAAAATAGATCCAAGTTCAAAACAGGCTTTAGTATGACTATATTTATATACAAACGATGAGGCAATAATAATTGGTTCAAATAAAGTATAACAACCAAGTAATTGCATGGTTTTATTGAACAATACTGTTAAATTATATAATGTAATGTGCCTATACACAATATGAACGTAACCATCCTAAGTACAATATGTATTATAACAAATACCTGCAGAGGGCGCCAACGGCCTGGTGATGTTTCACTTTACAGCGTGATTAATGTTTAAATCCATTTAATTTTAATATTTGGCCACATGCAAACTCAGACCGAGGTTTTAAACTTATTTTGAAATATGTTGATGTACATCGAATCGCATATTTAGAAATATGTTGATGTATTCTCCTGTGTGGGCATAGGTTTATAAATGATTTAGGCCTACATTACAAATCTAGTGAGATAACTCACACTGTTTTCCCAGATGAACAATACGCAAGCCAAACTCACAGCATACGCAGAGGAAGAGTTTCATGCTTGTAAATGACAACAGTGAAGCGCATCAGACTTTACATGCGTTCCCAAATGAAACCCAAAAAAACAGCACATGCAATAAAAGACCGAACAATATAATGCAAGCACTATCAAAGGTTTTACCACAAATTCAACTTTATACTGATATCATGAGACTGCTTTTCACTTCAAGTATCATTGTCACGTTTAATATCGCGAGATCTTGTGCGCTCCCGAAAGCCAGGTGAAGTGGCACTGTATTTGTATCACACAAAAACATCTGCAATGTTTTCATTGGAGAGATAGTTTACAGGGTTATAAAAATAACCTAAGAATAATCATTAGGACAAGTTCTGTATGAATTATTTTTAGGTTATTTAAAAAAATAACCACTCTGCAACGTTCTGGGAACGTTATGTTATGGTTGCAAAAAAATAAAACCTAAAAAGAATGTTACTAGAAAATTATTTCATGGTTTTAAAAAAATCAATAAATAAAATCAATAAATAAAAAAGGGGAATGTTTAGGGGAATGTTCTGTGTTTTCTAGGAAACAGATGAGTGTGTGTGTGTGTGTGTGTGTGTGTGAGTGTGAGTGTGAGTGTGTGTGTG